GCAACCCATTTGTTAAAACCAGAAAAGTTAAGGGCCTGACAACAACTTTCTTGAAAATTGGCTTGCTATAAAAGCAAGTGCATGAAACTTAAGCTAAATAAGGAAACTATTAACCTTAAGGTTTAAAGTCAACATGAAGAAACCTTAAATAATATTGAATGTGACCCGAAGAACTCAAAACTCAGTGGATAGGTAAATTCCAGCTTAATGAACCAAAATAACAAGTAAATTAAATTTGAGATGAGAAGTTTTTCTTTCAGCATAAAGGACATAATACACCACAAACATTATGGAAGAAGCAGGGTGAGTCCTGATTTCTACCAAAAAAAAATCCAAACGATTACCTGTACAGACAGATTTTGAACCAAATAGCGGTGATCAAAAGGAAGGTGAACGCTGGCTTGGATTGCAATGATATTCAAACTTGAATCTCCTGTATTAGGCAGCCAAAATTTGGAAATGAATCACTAAAATTAAGCACTTGAAAGGGAGGATAAATACACTGAAATACCAAAGGATTACCATCATTTTTCATTCCAACTAACAGCTCACTTTCCTCACCAGCTGCCACTACTGCAAAGATGATGAAATATGTTCAGAGAGATGCAATTCTTAAACTATAAAGTACTACTCACTCAGTTTCAATTTTCAAAAAGAATGACATTCTTTCATTTTTAGAATGTTTCAAAAAAAAATGACCTCTTTCTTTTTTTGGTAACAACTTTCCACGTGGCATGTTTAAGGCCACAAGATCAAAGGGCAATTTTGTACATTTGATCTACCTATAATTTAGGACCATAATATTCAAAAGTCTTCTTTATACTCTTAAACTCCGTGTCAAGTCAAAGTAGGTCATTCTTTGTGAAACGGAGGGAGTATCATTTAAGCAAAAGATTAAAGATAGAAAACAGGAAGGGATTATACCCTTAGAAGGGTTTTTGGGGAAAACACAAACCGTCTCAATCCCAGGTGCGGGACTAAAACTATCACTGCCAAAATCCCGGACATCCTCATCAACAATTCCAAGATCTCCTGCTTCTCCAGTGCCTTCTACCACATCTGTTTCAGGGTCGGATTGACATCTAGCAACTATGAAGAAAGTCAATACAATAAGAAACCAACATGAAATGCAGGAAATATTTGAAAGGGGGACTCCCTCCTAATAATCAACTGCAAAAGAAGAAACACTAATAAGCAAATCAGCTACACAAATCCTCTGTAACCTTTCTTCTATAATCATGCCCAAAGTCTAGAAGACAATAGTCAATAAGGTATGCAAACCTCAAGAATAACTAACTGAAAACTGAAAAATCAAGCAACTGAACTACTCTATTAGGTGGGATCTATGCATGCATCAACAGTTCTTTCCCATATCATATATAAAATGAGATTATCAAATCAAAGACAGTTAATTTAACTCTACCTTATTACTAGTACAGCGTTTCCACTATCGCCACCCACAGCACAATTCAAAATCCAATTTTTCTCCAAATACTAAATTTTGCTTTAACTTTCGTTTCCAAATGGAGAAGATTATCAAGGTATGTAGCCTTAGCATTCAGAGACAGATTTACTCAACGAAGACAAATCACATATTCACACCAATTAGAACGATAACATAATTGGAAACAAATAGATAAAAAAATTTCAAAAACAAACAGCAATAGGCTGATATTTGCCAGTGATTTCGAATATCTAGAGCATCTCAACTTTTAACAGTAAATAGGCACCTCGATTGCATCGAATTGAATGTCAACTTCAAAGATCACAAAGAAAATTAGAAGACATTGAATAATATACAAAGGAGCGATCTGGATCTGAGGAAACTAACCTTGAATGAATGGTGCAGAGAAGAGGATGAGAGCGAGGAAAACAGAGAAAACCCTAATCGACATTGTAGATCGAAGATGAAGATGGAGAGAGCTAACAGAAATGTAGAGCTGAGCTAAGAAGGACCCAAAAAAAAAAATAAAGCCCAGCAAAAGCAGCAGTTTTTGTCGTTTTTCGGCGACGGTAAAACAGAGGAATAGGAAGTGAATCTCGTCGTGTTACCAAATACGAAGATCCAAAACCATACCAATACGGGGGCCCAACTTAACTTTCCAATTAACCAACGTTTTCTTTATGGAAATATTAGCTATCCTATTTTTAAAAAATAAAAAAAATATATATATATATATATAATTGTTTTCATTTTTTAATATATGGAGGCACATTTAAATATTAAGATATTCATTAATTTAACAAAAGTTTACATTTGAATTTTTAAATCTGAATCTCAGCATTTTAAATTCAAACCATAAAGCTCATTTGTTTGTTTTTTTTGTTTTTTTTTTAAATCTTATTGGATTTTTAAAAAATAATCTAACTGAATCAAATTTATACAAAGAGTTTTAACCACATTCATTTAATAAGCTCTATTTCATATTAAAATAATGTACAACTTCTGTTTTTCTCTCTCTCCCCTGATGTCTCTACCTCTCTTTTCTTAATCAAATAATTATTTTTTTTTCTGTTGAGCCTATAAGTTTTCATATCTTTACAAGTATTTTTTTTATACTAATAATTTTTTGAAATGTATTAATGTATGTCGAAATCTCTTGTTATCATAACTTTTCTTGGGTGTATTGATGTATACTATTGGTCAAGATTAGAAATAGCTATGTAAAACATACAATAATATATATATATATATATATATATATATATATATTAGAAGTGTTTTATTAAAATTTTATTTTACACCACTAATTTTATTTAGATGTTTTGATCATAAACATCATCTCTGAGAATACACAAGATATACATTGTTATTGTTATATTATTACTAGATTAATCAACGCTTGCTTCTATATTGTAAATAATGGAGTGTTTTTTTTTTTGCTTTTGGTCTTTTTATTTTGATTATCTTTATTTAGTTACTTTTTGTTGCATCCATTCGCAATTTAGGAGAGTGCATTCAGTTTTTCGATTTGAATTTTTTTATTTTTTATTTTGAAGAAGTGTAACACAATTCGAACCAAAATAAATTTAATTTGACTTGATTTTTTCTCTTTTTCATTTGGATTTTTTTGGTTCAATTAATCGGTTATGTCAATAATTAAAAACAGAATAAAGACAAACCATCTTAGACTATACTAAGCAACATTAGAGATCGAGTATAATTTTTTTTTCTTAATATAGGTTAAGAATTGAAATCAAAATTGTTTGAAGTGATGAGGCAAAATTGAGGAATTACAAATAAGAATATAGATGGTTATTTCAGATATTTTCATTGTTTGTTTACATCCATACACTAGGCTATTTATATAAATGACTAAAGTGCTAGTTACAATAATCAAAGCAAACCAACTAATGAGCTCACACAATTTATCCTTACAAACTAATTCTGTTATGTAAGTAGCTAACAAACATATACTATTCCACAATGCTATGTAACAGTAACTATAGCTCTTCTCTTCAATGCACTGCTATGCAAATTGTCAATTCCTCAACAATATATACAATTGCTACAGCTTTAAATAACAATTTCGAGTCTAGTGGTCATAAAAGAAATTCTTAAATTGAATTAAACAAAATAAATAACCAGGTAACAACTTATGTTGGAATCCAATTTCATGGGTTGCTTAATGGATTCTTCAATTTATACAAATCCTACTTACGATTCAATATAATTCAATTCCTTTATAAAGAAAAACCAAATTTTAAATTAAGAAATTACCTCGAAATACTTATGCAACTGAGATATTGTGAATCAGTAACACTAACGGCGAGAATGAAAATAGCGTTGTGCATATATTTTCTGCAGCAAGGGGAAGAAATATTGAATTGAAATTGGGTATAGGGTAAGGTGAGGAAGTACAGTAAATTGGGTTTAAGATAGAAGGATCAAAACAGTATAATGATTCTAAAACATTAGCGGCTCTACTTAAACACTAAAACGTTACTTGTAATAACGTATTCCAACTTTAACGTCAGTCCTGTCAGTTTTGATCCGTTGCTTAGCAGAAATTAAAACATGGCTAATATGTTATTATTAACAATGTTTATATTAGTTTTGTAAAATTTTAAAAAAATATAGTATGATTATAAATTGATTTAAATAATAAATTATTTTGATAAAAAAATTTGCTAATGTTTGATTTCTTGGATTAAGAACATTGTAGGGGTATGCTAGTGGTTTAACCCGCAACTAAGCTCTTCGTTGTGTGTTGATAGAACGATTGTTTGAGTTTAGGGATGCAATAGGGCTGGTAAGGGCGGGACAAATAACTTGCTTAGATTTGATCCGTCCTATCCAATCCTATTTAGCATTTTTAAAAATAATTGACCACGTCGAGCCCAGCCTTGCCTCGTCCCACCCTGTTTATACGTTTTCTTATTTATTCTTTTGCAATAGTCTTGTAAACAAATTTCTCAAGTTTCATAAAAGAAATTCTCATTTTTCCCTTTTTATGTAACTGTAGATTTTCAATATCAATGTTTTAGTATAAATTATTTGTAGTTTATATAGAATTAGTTCTAGGAGAAGTTGCCACACCATGCAAGTTTATATATGGAGAGAGTATTTATATTCAAAGTACAACCATAGACACACGTCTTTTCTTCAATCTCTTTTTCTTTATTGAGCTGTTTTGTTACAGCACGGATTGATTTTAGTAGCAATGTAGCAAAAACATAGTGGGAAGGAGTAGTATTAAAATTAACATTGTCTATCAATTTCCATCCCTAGTTTCCTATTTTTGTGTGGGAAAATTGGTGTGGTTCGAATGGTTCAAGTGATGGATAAGACTTGAGAGTATCTTTCACTAGAAATAATTTCCACCACTGCTACTTCAGAGGAAGAAGTTCAATGTTATCCTGTCCCTACCAAAACATATTCTTGTTCTTGTTCTGGAGATTAAATCAGCCATCAATTTATGGCCTCAACATATACAGAAAATGACATATCCTTCCACTCTCTTAGAATCATTTTTAACCTTATCCATCCACCACATACCACAACTCTGCACCAAGCTTTACATGCATATTAATAATGTTTTGATTATTATATTCTCTCTACGTGTACATGAGTTAGTATTAAAAGTATTTTTTTAAAGTAAAAGTGATCAGATACAGATGTTCTGAATAGTAACAGCAGTTTGTTAGCAGATAGATAAGTGAAAGGTGGCCATTTTTGTTTCGGAAATGGCAACTTCTTTAGCTTCTCAACTTTCTGGTCCAAAATCCGCCATTGCCTTTTCCACTCCACCACACTTTTCTGGTCTCCGTCCATCTTCTAATTTCAAGCTTGACAATACTCGCTCTTTTTTCCAAAATGTGGACTCTCACAAAGGTTGCAGACCCGTCGTCTCCATGGCTGGCTCCGGCAAGGTATATAAAACTTTTACATTATACATTTGGCTTTTGTAGATTTCATCAGTTTGTTAGGCTCTGTGTGTAATCTGAATTGATACAAGTTATTAGAACAGAGTATGGTACAATGACTGTATTGAATCACTTGTACTGAGCAAACAGCAACTGTTTTCAACTGTGTCTTCAATCCAAACTAGTTGGGGTTTACTACATGAATCCTCTATATTTGTTCTACTCTATTTGAGCCCCTTTCTTTTGTTTATGGGACTACTTCAATTTCCCACCTTAGCACACTAGATTAGGCTGGTTGGCTTCTTCTTTATAAAAACAAACATCCAATGCAACATGGTTGGATGTCTGATTATAGTTTTCTTCTTGTTTGCAGTTCTTTGTTGGTGGCAACTGGAAATGTGTAAGTACATCTTATGCCCTCTTGTCAAGTTATGCGATTGAAATTTGGAACCCCTCTTTTTCATAATGGGCGGTGGCGTTTATTTCCCTATGGTTTTTATGTTTTTATAACTTTGTCAATATTTCTCGCAGAATGGAACAAAGGACTCCATAAGCAAGCTTGTATCTGATCTGAACAGTGCGAAACTCGAGTCAGATGTTGGTGAGTTCTTCAATATTGCTCACTTTCTATTGCCTCAAGCTGTATATGCATATCCAGCTTTCTATGAAGCTGTCTCAATGACTTTCTACCCTATTCAGATTTTGATCGCAGAGCAATCTTTGTAAGCCTGTTATAATTGCCACTTTGTTTGACCCTAGTTTGCTGACTACTACTTCTCACCTACATTCAATATTGTTTGTTGTGCATATCCCTTATATAGTGCTTATCTAGGATGATATCTCGTTTTTGTCAAGGCCACACGGATGACACCGTGCTCTTTGTTTTATACTTGTATTTGAAATCTGAAATGATATCTTTCCTCGTCTTGGTAATACTGGTATTCAGTTTTAATGAGAATGAAGTTGATTATGCAAGCATTAATGAAAAATATAGAAACCTTATAAGAATTGTGAAGATTTGCAATCGAAGTGTTCATGACACTGGCCATATCTACATGTCCTGTTGATACTTATTCTTTACAAACCTAGACGTAGAGATACGTCTTGGAAAAGCAAGTCATCTTTGAATGTTCTGGCCACTGGATTTAGAAGCAAACTCATGTTAATTAGCCTACTCAAAGTGGTGTTGCAAAAGGCATGACAAAGGCACACAAAAGATGATGCTTCTGTTTAGGGGATTCCTTTTTCTGTTTCTTGTTTGCAGGTCTGTTGCATTTTAGATGATTCAGTTGTTCATCCTACTGTACTCTCATTCTCTTATTTCTTTCTTTGCTTCCCAATATTCACTCTGTAGTATCGATAAAGATGTAATACCAGTATTTTTAATTGGATTGTCCATGTCCAAAGTTTCATGAATGTTTGGTGCTGATAGCACAGTCCTTCCAGAGTATGCACCGTAAGGGTTTTCGGCATTGTGATATCATATCCGTGTATAGATAAAACACTCTCTCTACCAATTATATTGATTTGCTTCATCTTCATCAGTCAACCAGTCAAGATTGCTGAAAATATTATTAGCTTATAACATTCATATAGTGATTTTATATTCTGAATCAGTTGCTATCACAGAATAATATGTTCTACTTGGATACTTGCAGATGTGGTTGTTGCACCTCCCTTTATGTACATTGATCAAGTGAAGAGTTCACTAACTGATAGGATTGAGATTTCTGGTCAGAATTGCTGGACTGGCAAAGGTGGAGCTTTCACGGGTGAAATCAGGTTAAGCTCGCATGTAAAATTGAATTTAAATCAACTAATGCGCCAGAGTTGCTTTGTTCCTCGCTATATGATGGTTTTTGGTAATTCAACAGTCTCGTTTCGAATGTTAATTTGCAGTCTTTCCTAATTTACTGAAAATCCAGACCAAAGTTTACTTCTTTTTCTTTTATATAATGATGATGTCCGGCTCAGCAAGGCATACCTCTGACAATTCTACTTGATATCTGCTACCTCTCACTGGCATATGTATCTGGTAACTTTTTTCCCGAAGGCTTAGTTAAATAGAAGTAATGACCTAGCATTTTTGGGTCTTTGGGTATTTGAACTCTGATAAAGATAGGTTCTCAATAGCCTTCTCACAACCAAACTATAAGGGGAAATTGCCCCATTATAGGAACGACAAGATGGCTAAGGAATCTTTACAAGTTTATTCTTCCTGATTTTCAGCGTAGTTTTAATTGGTTGTGTCCTTTCAAGGTGTATCAAAACCAATGTTTTTCTTGTCATCCTAATGAAAGATTTTAACTATATTTTCACCAATAAGGCCTGCATGACATGGCTGTTGAGATCAGAAGTTTCTCTTTGTGTTTTCTCCGTGGTTATGGTTATCTTTTTTTGAGTAAAAGAGGTAAAACTGTACTAAGAGCCGAATCTACTATTCGAAAGGAGAAAAAGAGTAACCTTGTTCTTCTTGCAAGGGTTCTAGGATATCAAACAGCGAATCTACTTATAGTAATTCTTCTTTACACCAAAAATGGAACAAAAGCATAGAAGTCATCTTAATCTTCTGGACAAGCCTGACTATATCTTCCAAACATCTTGATTTTCTTTCCTTCCAAACAGTCCACCAAATACAAGCCGGAATTTTACCACATCAAGTAAAGAGTGCCACTTAGATGGGTAATTTTTCCCATCTGTGTTTCCAGTGCCTAATACCAGCCAGCGATCCAGTATGATTTAAAGCTGTGTATGAAGATTTGACATTGTAGATCTGGCTTAGTCATGTCAGTCTTTCTGGTTGATCAATACTTCCAGAAAATTGCTTCAGTGTTATGAAGAAATTTGAAGCCTATTGATTTCCCAATTATCCGTCAAGAAAAAGAAGATAATACTGAGTAGTGAATTTAGTACAACAATATCCACCATTGTATTTGTATTTCATGATCAATAGCATTACTATGTAGTCAAGGTATTGAATAAAAAATAAAAGGGAATCTGTTATCTGATTGTCCTACAAGGCAACATTTCCATAAAAATATAAGCCAATGCTTCTTTCCGCCAATTAGATGTGGAATCCAACCTTAAAAGTTAAACTCCACTTCAAGAATCCTATTAGAAGTGCAGTTCATTAGGTAAATGGACGGCAGAGACCGTCATTTCTTCATTGTTCATTGTGTATGACTTCAAAATATATCATAGATCAAATGTGGACCCAATTACTCTCCTTTTCGTGTAACTCATCTTCAATTTATAATATGTTTTATTTAACATATGTAGCGTGGAACAGTTGAAAGATATTGGCTGCAAGTGGGTCATTCTTGGTCATTCTGAGCGGAGACATGTAATTGGAGAAAATGATGAAGTAAGGCTTTGCAAGAATCATTTGATTTGTGAATGTTATGGAAAACTAAGCAATTTGTCACAAGTGAAATGAAGTAAAACATTTGCTGGTTCTTGATGATACTTCGTTGTGTGTTGAGCTGTTCACCTTCACTAAGGACTTGACTGGGCCATTCTCTTGTGCAGTTTATTGGGAAGAAGGCCGCTTATGCCTTAAGCCAGAATGTTGGAGTGATAGCCTGTATTGGAGAGCTATTGGAAGAAAGAGAAGCTGGAAAAACTTTTGATGTATGTTTCAACCAGTTGAAGGCTTTTGCCGGTGAGATTTTGTTGAGTATAGTCTTTCTTGCAGAATCTTTCATCTCATATTCATGGGACCTATATATGTATATGATGTTCTATTAAAAACTAAGATTACTCACTGGGGGCAGGGATGAGGGATGGGATAGTCATTTATATCCATTGCTTTTGGCTTAATGAATTTTCTCCCTAAAGCTAATAAAAGTGTTCATGTGAAAGCTTTATATTTCTTAGATCTGTTTGATTGACATTTCTGTGATGTGCAGATGCTTTACCAAGTTGGGATGATGTGGTCATCGCATATGAGCCTGTATGGGCCATTGGAACTGGTAAAGTGGCGTCACCTGAGCAGGCTCAGGAGGTCCATGCAGCTGTTCGTGATTGGCTAAGTAAGAATGTTTCTGCAGAAGTTGCTTCTAAAACACGCATCATATATGGAGGTAATGAATTTGAGTGTTGAATTTCATGTAAAAAATACCTTTTCCTCTTCTTTCATGCATGCAAATAGAGATTGCATGAGTTGTTAAAATTTAAGGATTTCAGCCATGTTGTGATTTGTTATTGATATGTCAACTAGATATCGTAAGAGTTCCCCGCTTCCGCTTGGTTGTGTTGAGCCGTATCAAAATTACAGTAGTTAACTCCTCTTTTTGTTTTTTTATACATAGGGGGGATGGGGAAGTGAACACCTAACTCTTTTTGTTGAATTCTTATTTGTTTGTCTTTTGAAGAATTCTTTTTTTTTTTCTCTTTTTGTGAGTCACTTTGACACATTGTTAAATTGAGGCATATCTAACCTGTATTTGGTGCCTCAAAATCCTGTCTCCCTTCTGTTGATATGCCTAGATTTTTCGTGAAACTGAATTGTAATTTGCCTGTTTCATTAAACTGTAAAATTTTGATAGGCTCTGTGAACGGAGGCAACTCTTCTGACCTGGCAAAGAAAGAAGATATTGATGGCTTTCTAGTTGGGGGTGCTTCTTTAAAGGTTATCTTTTAATTGCTAAGTACATGCATTTTGTCTGGAAAATATTTTATAGTTTCCTGTTTGCCTGTAACATGCAAGAACTGTATCCTGGACCAAAATTGCAAGAATTAACACATGGTTAAGTTATTAAATTTGAGCTGGACCTAGATTTTATGGCATCCCTTGAGAAAGAACATCATATCTAGAAAATGTTGTTCACTGTGACTAGTATTGGGAAAAAATTGTCGCTCATCGTGACTATAAGTGGACGGTGGACCTACCCTTTATCGTGGACACTAAAAATTCTTTGGTGTTGGTGCAACTACTGCAAACACTCTGGAGTGCCAAAGTTGGTTTAGAAAGAACTCTATTGATATGTGGAGTTCGATGTGAAGATCATTGGGACTTGGGATTTTGATGGAGTGTAACCAAAGCAATATCCCTAGGGCTTCGCTTCAATGGTAAGAGCACAATGCATGACACATAGGTTACACTCATGTCAATAGTTCGACTCTGCCAATGGACTAAAGCCGGTAGTTAAGTAGAGACGGGTAAAGGGACAACCATTATCCACCAAGTTACAACCATGCATCAAATGTCCCTCCGAAATTTTTTTTGTTATCACAAAAAGATGATAGAAGGTAATCAGCCATAGGTGGTGGTTGTATCTTAGAAATTTACATGGAGATAGAATATAAAAATACACATTGCGATTAGTTTCATTAACTGTGTACTAAACCAACTCCTCTGTACTGGATATTTCTAACTTGTTGTGGCTGCATCATTTATTCCAAGTAGAAATTCTCCATTGTTTTTGAAAGGGTATGATTTTTGAAATGCGCCGTAACCTTAATATTCTGTGTTTCAGGGTCCTGAGTTTGCCACCATTATTAATTCTGTAACATCCAAGAAGGTAGCTGCTTGATCATTTGTCATGGGTTGTAGTCGTGGAAACAAATGGCGTAGAGAAATAGCAGTGCTGGAAGCATCAGATGGCTAATTTACGAAGGAGTTTTATCTAGTGGAATTTTGGTAACTTCCCAACTCATCTTGTATAACTTGTTTTCCATCCATCTCATTTCAATAACACACTGAAAGCAAATTGTGGAGCTTCAGAGTGTAAATTTTTTTTTATAGCAGGGCTTGGATGTGTTGTATGTTCCTCGACTCTAATTATACCAAAGTTCGTTGAATTCACTTGACCCCTCCCAAGTCCCAACACAGAATAAATATCTATGCTTCAAATGAGAAGTATGGTCAATTAGTACATTTTCTGCTGCTTTTTTTTTTCTTGGAACTACCTACAATTTGACTTCAGATGTTTGAAGGCACCTTTGTTCCCAGAATTCCAGTGCACTGCACAACATGGTTTTATCTCAAGCATATCATCACTCCAGCATAGTAAGTAAAGTTTCATTAGTAGAAATTCATATTTGATCACATCGTCTTGGAGTTAAACTTATAAAAGTGAAACTCAAGAATAGTGTTCTAGAGTTAAAACTTTTATAAGTGAAGCTCCATGACAGTCGAAATTTGAACGTATACAGTCTTTTTGCACTTGATTTGTAATAGAGAAGTAACTATTTCTAAACTACTTTGCAAAAGTTAATTATATTTCAACAAGGTGGCGTAAAGGTCTACTTAGTATAAGTTATACTTGGTTTAATGAAGTATGGGTTAGGCATACTTGACAAGTTGGAACATTAAATTGACGCAAGTCAGGAAATTTAAGTGAGAACAGAGCATATGGACAGTGTTTGTTGGAAAGTAATGAAAATAAAATGGGAAAATAATGACATCAAGAATTTTACGTGAAACCCTCTAAATAAGGAAAAAATCACGGGTTAAGAGGAGCAACTGATATAACTATAATAAGGAATTTTACACTGTGTAATAACGAATATAACACTCTGAGTGACTACTACACACTAAAAAGGAACAACACTTTTGATTTTCACCTAACTAAAATATCGCTCACACTATAATTTTCTCCACAGACTATTTTTCTTGTATAGTCTATGGAACACCTCACTTTGCTCTCAAAATATTTTTATTCTCTCTAACTTGGTGTGTTCTACAAATGAGTAAAAATACTCTATTTATAGAAGGAAAAAATTATGCCTATGTCACTAATGACATAGGTAAATATAACAAAGTCAAAAAGGGTTGCAAATCTTAACAATTTGTCAACTACCAAATCTTTTATTTTCAACTCTAATTACTATTCCTTTTTGAAATTACTTGTAGCAATTGAATAGCAAAAGTTGACCAAAAATATGGGATGGACTCCACAAATTTCCTCCTGAAGTCCATTCACCGGAAGGAGGTATCTCATCTTCTTTAGAGAAACCTCATACCCACAAGTTCTTTGCATAACTCGAACTTGTCTTTCGGTATCTTCTTGGTCAACATATCTGCAGAATTTTCATTTGTGTGAATCTTTTTGACGTGAAATGATTCACTCTATACTTCCTCATGAATTCAATGATATCTGACGTCGATGTATTTTGTTCTTACATGGTACATAGAGTTCTTGCTCAAGTCTATTGCACTCTGGCTGTCACAATAGACAATATACTTTATCTGATGCACATCAATATCTTGAAGAAATTGTTTTAGCTATATTATCTCCTTGCTAGCTTCAGTAGCCGCAATATACTCAATTTCAGTAGTAGATAGTGCAACACAATTCTGCAACTTCGACTACCATGATAAGTAAATAAATACCCACTAGTGAATTTTTTGTTATAAAGGTCACCTACCATATCAGAATCTGTATAGCCTTTCAAGATTGGATTTGATGCTCCAAAACACAAGCATTCATTTGAGCTTCCTCTAAGATACATGAGTATCCATTTCACAACTTCACAATGCTCTTTTTCTGGACTGTTGAAAAATCTCCTGACAACACCAACTGCGTGAGCAATATCGATCTAGTGCATACCATTACATACATTAGACTTCCGACGACGGAGGAATATGGAACTTTGGCCATGCTCTCTTTTTCCTCCCAAGCTGTAGGACACATCTTCTTGCTCAACTTCATATGACCAGCAAGAGGTGTACTAACAGGCTTAACATTCTTCATATTGAAGCGCTCTATTACACGTTCAATGTACTTCTTCTGGGACAAATAAATCTTCCTTTCATCTCTGAGACGAGTAAATCTCATGCCCAAAATTTATTTGGCATGACCCAAGTCTTTCATAGCAAAAGACTTATACAACTCTTTATTCAACTCGTCAATCTTGGGAGTATTCTTTCCCACAATCAACATATCATCCACATATAGCAAGAGGTTGATAAAATCATTGTCTGAAAATTTTTGTACAAATACGCAATGATCTGATGAAATCTTCTTATAGCCTTGGTCCTCCATAACAAATTCAAACTTCTTGTACCACTGTCTAGGAGCTTGTTTTAGGCCATACAAACTCTTTTTGAGTTTGCACACAAATTTTTTTTTACCTTCTACTTTGAAGCCCTCAATTGTTCCATATAAATCTCTTTTTCTAAGTCACTGTGAAGAAAAACCTTCTTCTTATCCATCTGTCCAATCTTTAAATCATACTAACTGTCAAACCTAGAACTGTGCAAATCGAGGACATTTTTATAACAGGAGAAAATATTTCGTCAAAGTCAGTACCCTTCCTTTGACCAAATCCCTTAACAACCAGTCTAGCTTTGTATATGGGTTTCAACTTATGTTCTTCAACTTTAACTTTGAACACCTACTTGTTCTTCAAAGCTCTCATGCACTTAGACAATTTTACCAACTCATAAGTGTGGTTCATATGCAAAGAGGTCATCTCATCTTGCATGTCTTCAATTCATTGATCTATGGCCTCCTCATAACATTTAGTTTCTCCCCCGTCAATGAGTAACACATACTCATTGGGTGAATAACGGGAGGAAGGAAACCGTTGTCTTGTGGACCTCCGAAGCAGAATATTTGATTTGTCCACAACGTTATGAGCAAGAGGATCATCAATAACAATATCATTGTTATTATCAACATCAACATGTTGATTCGATGCATGATTATGGGCGTCACCATGATCAACAAACCCAAAAAAACCATGTATACTTATGTGAGGAACTTCATCATGATGAATTATACCATCAGAACTTGAGATTCTACCTTCTTCGCTTTGTCAATATCTTCAATTGTTTGATTCTCCATGAAAATAATATCAGGACTTCTCACAAGTTTCTTTTCAATTCGATTATATAGCCTGTAACCGAATTCATCAAGGTCATATCCAATGAAATTGCATTGCCTTGTCCTGGCATCTAACTTTGACCTCCTATCTTTTGACACATCTACAAAAGTTTTGCAACCAAACACTCTCAAATGATCATAGTAAACATCCTTCCCATACCAAACATTATTTGGTACATTTACAAAGCAACAACAAGAGATAGATTAATAACATATGCAGCGGTCAATAAAACCTCACCCCAAAATGAGTTCAACAATTTTTCTTCCGAAAGCAAACATCTAACTCTTTCCATCAAGGTCCTATTCATCCTTTCAGTCAAACCATTAAGTTGAGGAGTCTTAGGAGGAGTCTTTTAGTATCTAAATACATTAATGTTGCAATATTCGTCAAATAATCCACAATATTCATCAAAGTGAAAATTCTGCAGATATGCTGACAAAGACGATACCGAAAGACAAGTTCAAGTTATGCAAAGAACTTGTGGGTATGAGCTCTCTCTAAAGAAAATGAAGATACCTCCTTCTAGTGAATGGGACTGGAGGGGGAGATTTGTGGAGTCCATCCCATATTTTTGGTCAACTTTTGCTATTCAATTGCTACAAGTAATTGTTAAAAAAAGAATAGTAATTAGAGTTGAATATAAAAGATTTGATAGTTGGCATATTAGTAAGATTTGAAATCCTTTTTTACTTTGTTATATTTACCTATGTCATTAGCGACATAGGCATAATTTTTTCCTTCTATAAATAAAGCATTTTGCTCATTGTAGAACACACCAAGTTAGAGAGAAAAGACCACTTTGAGAGCAAAGTGAGGTATTCCATAGACTATATAAGAAAAATAGAGCGTGAGCGATATTTTAGTAAGGTGAAAATCAAAAGTATTGTTCCTTTTGAGTGTGTAGTAGTCTCTTTGAGTATTGTATTTGTGACTATAGAGTGTAAAATTCTTTACTATAGTGATATCAGTTGCTCCTCTTAGCCCGTAATTTTTCTCTTATTTAGAAGGGTTTACACTTAAATTTTTGGTGTCATTATTTTTTCATTTTATTTTTAATACTTTTAACATATATCTTTTTGTGCTTGTACGCGTTTTTCCAATAGTGTTTTGCAATAACTTTTTGTAAGTATGAAAAAAAGTAAGTTGTAATTGCAAAACAAATAAAGAAAAAGAAATTATTTGTTCAAATTGAGTGTCATTATGTGTATGCATGTTTCTCAAATAAATTTTAGAACATATATACATCGAAAAGGATGCTGAATGAATTTGTACGATTTTTATTGTTTTGACAAATTGATTGATGCTTGAAGTTTTGTTCATAAAAATTATTTATGTTTTCGTATTTCTTTATGAAACAATATGACACTTATGTCTTGAATTTGAGCTTATTTGAAAGAAGTTTTTAAAAAATGGATAAAAATATTCAAATCACAAATCAGTTACCTATTTTTCTTTTATAAAAGTCAAATCATACATCACTAAAGTTTATCCAATTCTTATATGCAATACAATCACATGACTGAAGTTAGATCCTTGCTTAGGCCACAACTATAGCCAAAAAATGTCCCAAGTTTAGCTTTATCAAATCAATCAATAATTTCAGTAAAAAAAAAAAGCCCCAAGGCATGCTCGAGTGGCAAAAGGTGAAGGATTTGATTTAGGTAGCAGGTTTGAATCCCACACCATACAAAGTTAAACTCGATATTTAAGTGGAGAAGAATAGAAGAACAGACTCATTATCCACCGAATTTATAAGGTTATGATTGGTTCCAAATGCGACAGGTAAATAATGTATTTCTCAATTATTAAAAAAAAAACTTCAGTAAAAAAAATTATGTCTAGAACTTGACAAGTCATACCAAACTTGAGGCCAAAAATATAATGTTTGGCCTTCACAATTTCCAACATCAACGGCGGCGTATGTCTGAAGTTGTTCCCAAAGCAAATAAACTTGCATAAAAATATAATGGGCACAAAAATGACATGACTATCACAAAATTGGGTATTTGTTCACATCGGCCAAATAAAATTGGATCCATACATTATACATATAATTGAACTGGAAAATATTTTCAATTAAATCTTATGTGCTTTCAAAAAGGTCTATTGCCCCTCGAGTTTCAAAGCATTGGCAAGGGATATCAAATTCACATAATTAAAAAGAGATGATGCCATACTTCTACTCATACTAGTACACATGAACTCCCCAGGCTCGAGCTCAGCAAAACTTCTTTGTACAGAATTGAGTCTCAGCTTTCGAAGAAGGGTGTGTGTATACAGTTTGCTACAACATTTTAGCAGCAGAGCACAAGCATGTCCCAAGGAACCAATGTCAAATTTTGCATTCTTTGATTAGCCTTCAACTGTAGGTCTTGAAGAACGGATCAAGAGGGGCGTTATCCGATAGCTGTTAAAACAGGCTGCAGGTGAATGCCCCCGCTGCGAGCCTTCAACCCTGTGAGCAATGTAGTGATACGAGGAAACTCCACAAAGAGACTTTGCCAACAAAAGTAGTTATGATGATCAATCACACTTTTCCACCATACTGGAAATGAATCTTGTAATCATGTTGCAAAGTAGCAAGGGTATTTCTGCAGGGTCCCTCTATAAAAACAGAAAGATTAAATAGTGAGCCAACAGACAACTAATAGCTTAATATTCTTTCAAACTTTAGAACAGGTTGAGATTGCTCACCTCCGAATACTGTGTGAAGACGTTGAAGATCGTCTTCTGAACAAGCATCTACTAAAGCATAGACACCAGGTCTTAAAGCTTCATCGATTTCCCTTCCAAGTTGAAAAAAAAAATCATTAAGATAAGAGAACAGGAATCAAGAATGCAAATCACATTGTGCCTCTAACATTAAAATCAAAAGTGAATACAACAAAAAAGTACCGGATAATTCCATTTCTAAGCCGGCCATATCCACAGTACACCCATATGTAGCAAGATAGGAATTGAAAACAATTGTTACCATAGACATCTTTGTGCTGCCTAATCTGCAATATAGAAAGGGGACAGTCATTGTATGAAAGACATATAAAAGAAACCTCTTGGAATTAGGTGAATTGACAAATAGTGAATGAAACTAATGCATTGATGACCCTAAATCGAAACTTGCACTAGCACCCTTCTGACAATGTAATTGAGACAAGAAACCAACATCGTCAAATTATCTTTAAATCAAAGGAATGCCTCCTATGTTATCTAGTTTCAACAATCTCAGAACTTCTCTTTTGATAACTAATGGAAATTTTATTAATGACTTCCAATACTAACTGCCAAGCTAGCAAATGGATAAAAAAGGAACTCGGTACAAAGCTAGTTGTGAATGGGAACAACCACCTCAGAACTGACTATGACTAAATCAAAGCTTAGAACTAACATGTTCGAAGTCAAGCTCAACGCAAGTTCTTCCAAGTTGAGCACTGTTTATAGTACATTCAATTTTGGGCAGGGTCATGAATTTCGAATCATGAAAGCACTCATGAGCCTAGGCCTAAGTATCCAGAAGCAACCTGTAAAGCCCGAAAGCCATCTGTCTTCTACTCCATTTTTTCAGAAAAGCAAAAGGCAACTATAAATGATGCAGGATGTATTTAGATCATGTTAACCCAACATTTCAGTAATTGAAAATTCCATTATTGAGGAGAGAGTATAACGTAGAAGTAACCTTACCTCTTCATACACCCTTCGAAGAAAACTGGCGCATTTTACTCCTACTTGAACTTCCCATCCAAAATAATCTCCTCCAACTGGACTAGTGCATACCATCTCCAAACAATTAAGAAGTCTGCCAACTGAATCTTCCAGAAGCGCGATGCAGCGCCGTGTCTCACTACATATCGCGAACACCAAGAGAATAGATCATGGACTTATAAGAGAATATTTGCTCAACATCCACACATCTATAATGTTTCTCTATCTCTTTTGAAGTTCCCAAGTAATCATCATAAATTGCAGTGTGAACAACACAAGGGAATAGGCCACAAATATTTCTAGTTTGAAGGAAATAAGAACAAAGGAAGTAGCAAACCTTCTGTGATGCTTTAGAACAGTACACAGCATTCGGCAGCATGCAGCATATAGCTTTATGCAAAATTCTCTATCCACGACGCTTCTTTCGCTTCCAGGAACCTCAGTTTCTTCGAAAGTCGAGCCTCCTGTATAATTAGAACAAAGCAGAACTTTGGATGTCCAAAGCTGAAAAGCACACTGAAATACTGTAGCAGGCAGATGCAATAACTGCCCAATATGGCATGCTTCCAATTGGAAGAAAGCGTGTTTAGCAGAAATTTTTGTCAGCACTGAAATGCACATCAGACAAACAGAGCCAGGGTCGGGTTCAGCAAAATCTTTCCTGAACTTATGATTTCTGAAAAACATCTTGGGGCCTTGCAGGTGCAGGATTACATTGAGTAGAGATGATACTAAGTTCTGGATATGCCTTTTGATCACAGCCACCTTTTTACGCCCTATAAAAAAGACAAAGGACATACGAAACCACAAGTTATGAACAAATCTAAAATACAAGTATAGGGCAACAGTATCGGGATTTTTTTGCAACTTAATATGAAGAACAATCAGCTCCCTAAACCATCCAACAAAAAATGAAAAACATCACAGCTTCCAGAGAGAGCTCACACATAGATAGAGATCTTTGCAAGTACTACTTTGCCTCTGAAGACATCCTAAAACTGATGTCGTCTTAGTCTCTTTACATGCAATGAGTAAAGCCAAGGAAACTATTGTTCCTTTTGATTAATTTAGTGTTCTGACAAAGTAACAAAATCCCAGTCAAAAGATCCTCAAAAAAAAAAACGAGAAATCATGGACAAAAAGAATTAAAAGTCCCCCTTTTCAGGGAGACTATGCTATTTTCTCCCCTGCACTCATCACACTCCTCTTGTGATTTATGACTTAAAGTTACTTAACTGTCCAAACCAGAGCTTTCATATTTCATGTAATGCAACATCTGAGGAATTAAAAACTATTTGAACAGCCCTACTAGCTCCTACTCAAACATATCCTTTCAGAATTCAAACCATTTAAATTTTTTTCACATTCAAACATTAGTAATAGCATAATGAGCATCTGATTGCTAGAGCTATTCAGTTAATTTCATGTCGACAAGACGACAAGAACCAGAGTGTTTTTTCTTTTTTTTGGAACTGAAGAACCAGTGTTTTCTTATCCTTCACAAGGCTAAAACTGAAATGTAAATACAACATCTCTTGATCTTTCTTGCAATCTAAAGAGCTTAATTTCTCTCTTATCCAGACAAAATTATGTAATATCTGTGAGAAAAAAATGCTGATCATTTGTGGAGTCCAAATGAAAGCAAAGAACTTTGACGTAAACATTGTGATACCTATCTCGCATTTTTGGCTTAGGCCCCCATTTGGACATGTGATATGAAATCAAATTGATATGAAGTAGAAGTTTTGATTCTATTCGGATTTCTTCAGTTGCATTTTTTAATATAAACATGAAAACCCCACAAGTTGTGATAACTATCAAAACTTCCCCAATTATTACGCAATCTTACAAAATTGAACAAACCACAATTTATAAACAAGATATTGGAATATCAAAAGGCGCCACATTGATAGATCACATATATCCATGTTACTTTTATAAATATATGTTTGTGAATACGAACTTGCA